TAAATCCTAACCTCTCCAGCATTTCCTTTCAGCCCCTCGCCTTTTTTTTTTTGGTATTAGGGATGAAATTCAGGGGCACTCAACCACTAAGCCACATCCCCAGCCCTATTTTGTATTTTATTTAGAGACAGGGTCTCACTGAATTGCTTAGCGCCTCGCTTTTGCTGGGGCTGGCTTTGAACTCATGATCCTCTTGCCTCAGTCTCCTGAGCCACTGCTTCCAGCCCTTTAAGTCCTTTCAGGACCTAGCACTTCCCCCAACCTGCAAAAAATGTTTAGAAGAAAGATTTGATTTGGGGGAAACCTTCACAAAAACTGGACATTGTTTGATATCCAAAAATGCTTTCAAACTGACACGACTTTTGGTTTCAGGGAGACACATGGGTTTGGAGGTGGTGGCGAAGATATTTAAAAGCATCAGCTGGGCTCAGTGGTGCACACCGGTAATCCAGGAACTCATAGAGCTGAGGCAGGAGGATTGCTAGTATGAGGACAGACTCAGCCAACAAAATGAGGCCCTGTCTTAAAAAAAAGGTGGGTGGGAGGTGGGGCTGGTATGTAGCTCTGTGGTAGAGCACTTGCCTGGCATGCATGCATGAAGCCTTGGTATAGCAAAAATAAAATAAAAGCATCATGGGCTGGGGATGTGGCTCAAGTGGTAGCGCGCTCGCCTAGCATGCTTGAGGCACTGGATTCGATTCTCAGCAACGCATAAAAACAAAATAAAGATATTGTGTCCACCTAAAACTAAAAAATAAATATTAAAAAAATAAATAAAAGCATCATAATCTGAGACAGTCTAACATAGTGACTGGGATGGTCCAATGTCAGAGATGAGGCTCAAGGCCAGGCATGGAATAAAAGGGATGTTCCATCTGTATAATCCTTAAATCGCAGTGGAGATAGGAACCCTAAAGCATAGAACTCATGAATTGACAGAAAATCAAATACTGATTATGAACCCACTCAGGGGCCAGCTACTCAAGTTGTAAAATGCTCATTGATCTCTTCAAAAGATCACCACCTTATACAGACTAATAGGAGAAATCCGTGAATCCGCTTATTAAGCTGGTATTAAACTGGAAGGTAGACTGTGGGTTGATGAGAGAATGCCATTGTTCAATATCAAATTTCCTGATTTCAATAATTGCACTGTGGTTACATTCTTAGAAGACACACAGTGAGTTAGAAGTCCAGGGCATGGATATAAAATTTGGTCTTATATGGATTCATCCACCCAAATGAATATATATATATATGCATAATATATAGAAAATGATAAAAAAGGAACAAAATGTAAGTAATTGTTGAATTTCAAGTAAGGAGCATTCAAGAGTTTCTTGTACTATTCTTGTAATTTTTCTGTAACTTTGAAATTAGATACAGAAAAGATCCCAGCGAGGGCATGCAGCAAGCACCCTGATAAGCCTCTGAATCCAGGTATGCGTGCCAGCTGCTGCCCTCCCTATCCCCCAGCTGAATGACAACCAGACCTCTGCCAGTCCTGGGGGCCCAATCCCTCTCTCCTCCTGCTGCCCCAAGGGCTGGAGGAAGCTCTGCTCAGCTTGTGTGGACAGCACAGAGTACATGCCTGAGAGGACAAGGTGCAGGGGGCCGTGACAGGAGCGTAGATCAGGCTTGGCATGACAGTTCTACTCCTTCCCAGCTGGGAGGCCCTGGGGCATGATAATTTTGTCTCTTAGAATCAGTTTCACTCATTTGCAAAATGGGAACAGCGATCACTTGTAGCAGAGCAGAGTGAGAGAGCGGAAGTGACCTAGCCAGAGCACCTGAGGCTAAGGCTGCTGCCCAGGGGGTCCGCTCAGCTGCCCTCACTCTGGCCTCTGCGGTTTCACCCCAAGCTCCTGCCTGCCTCTCTCCCTCTTATGTTATCATTCCTCCTCAACCAAACCACACAAATTACACTCCTCTCCTCCTTCATAACCTGGTCTGGAGGCTCCCTCATTCTAACCACCGCCCCCAGCCCCGGCCCCGCACACCATCTCCCTCTTTCATCTGTGAGCTGGTGTCCACCAGGTCAACTTGTGCTTTGCTCCATTTCCTTTCATCCTCCTGACAGCTCACTCGGAGCACACCGATTTGGCTCTTCAAGTGCTTGGCCACAGTGAGGCTCCCAGGGGCCCCCAGGACACAGTGGGGGTAAGCTTTGTCCACTCTGCCCCTCAACTGCTGGCTTACAGGACCAAACTATCATGCTGGAGAGAGGAGGCCATGCAGAGAAGGATCTGGCCACAATGTTTGACAGGAAAATCACTCACCCTTCCCTCAGGAAAGATGGATTTCCTCCTTAGATTAGGTACTTTTTGGCCCTTGACAAAAGCACGCACACACACACACACACACACAGACCACTCATGAAACTGGACATGTCTTGGACTGCGGAAGGTAATGCACGTGGCAGAGAGAGACAGACTGCAGGATTTCATTTCTATGGGGAGAAAAATCCTGCTGATGTATTTATATATTCACAAATACACAAATATGCAGAAAGAAGAAACTGAATACATTTGTGGGGTGAATGGATTTGGGGGTAGATGGAGTTATGGAGTTAATCCAATCACGATGTGTGCATTTTCATAGAGCTTTCTGCAAGCTGTGCCCCTCCACACCACAGGGTGCCTTGGGAGACCCTCCCAGGGTGTCGGCTCTACACGGAGGCAGCAGGAAGATACCCTTCTGCTGCCCTAGACCAACAGTGGGGGGCACCAGTTTCCCTCTGGACAGTTGCTTTCCAGTGTGACCACACACTGGAATGACCTGGGAGCATAAACAAATACTGAAGCCCTGCTCCCACCCGAGGTTCTGATTTAATTAGTCTGGGGAGCAGTCCAGGCAGTGGTGGCTTCCAAGCTCCCCAGGTGAAACTAATATGCAGGCAGGGCCGCCAGCTGCGGATCCAGAGTTGGATGATGACAACTTGATTGGGGTTTTCCACAGCCTCCTGTTTTCCAGGGCAAGGAGCCCAGCTCTGGGTCTGCTCATTGTCTCCTGCTTGTTTTTCTCCTCCACAGTTCCCTTTTGACCTCTCCTCACCTCCCTCAGGATCACACTGGACAGGAGGCTGCTGAACCTCTGCCCCTGAGAAGTGAACTATCACATGACACCCTAGTCACAGTCCCGGTGTTCTTTTCGGGACAACATCTCATCCGCTTTCATTTCCCAATATTGAACATGGCATGGTCCCAGAAAATATTTGGAAAGAATAACTATTATCCCATCCCTACTAGGTTCTTCTTAGATTGGTTTTTCTGCACTTCCAATAACTTATTTAATGTCCACTCTTGATCTTTGAAGCTTCTTGATAGTGGTCCCTCCACTATTCTTGGGGATTACTTCCCCACTTTGGGTAAATATCTTTTCACTTTGGTGGCCCCACCATACTGCAGTCTGACACCCCAGGCTTGTGTTCAGGGAACCCAAATGCATCATCAGGAAGGTGAACACATCGCCTAACAAAAGAAGGAAAGAAGGAAGGAAGGAATGGAGGGAGGGAGGGGGGGAGAGAGGAAGAAAGAGGAGAGTAAGGTGAAAGTCATAAAACACCGCTACATAATGGAAAAAGAGAAGTGGTCTTCTGTATCATCAGGATGATTACTTTCCTCTATTTGTCTAGGTAAGAACCTGACTTTTCTGCTGTTTGTTTTAAAACAGTGTCTTGGGGCTGTCCAAGTAACCTGCATCCTGCTAAAACTGGAGGTTTCAAAGGATAGTTCTGCTAATGAAACTATACTAATAATCACTGTAGAAGCCAGGGCTGCTCTATGACTTTTGCCTTCATGGGCTCCTTCATCCTTAATACATATTTAATTGAATATTATATATATTATATTTTAGTTATATAAATTATAGTTCACAATTTCTCTGGCATAAAGGATGACTATATTAATATTATGAACTCAAAAAATTGTCTTTGAACAGTTCATTTTTTTCTTCTAATTTTATAGGACAGCACATTTTTGTGGGCCTGTAAAGCAGTGTGTGCTCTTGGCACCATGCCAAATGGGTGGATAGGCCCTGGGGGAATCAAGGTCGAAAGGAAGGCGTAACTGTCTATGGTCTGGATCATGGAGAAGTTCCTTTCATCCTTGCATATTTATGTCACTCTGCAATTTGACTCTGAGAGACACCAGGGAGGGTCCTCCAAGAGCAAGGCATAGCATGTGCCATTCTGAGGCTCATGCTAGGCCCTCAAGGAAGGTGCCATGAGAGAAGGACCTGTTTCCACGCTTGGTAAGGAGACAGTTGGTGGATGAGGGAGCTGCCAATGCTCTGAGCTCCCAGAGAGTTACTTTGAGATAAAAGGAGGAAGAACTCGGGGCTGATCTGGTTTTGCAGTGGGAGTTTGTCAGAAAGGTTGCCCATGGAGAGAGGTGCCAGAGCACAGGCATGCTGGGGGGACCTCAGGGGATGGCTATGGTTCAGTGAGGAGCTCAGTCTGGCTTGAATATAAAATAGGAGTGAGAGAGTGAGAGGCAGAGCTGGGAGAGAGGTGGCAGCCAGGACATAAGGGACCACATGTACACAGGCACAATAGTTATGTCTAGGCATGATCTTGCAAAAAGTTCACTTGTATGGGATTTCACAGGTGCTGGGGACCACTGGTATTTCAGTTGGGAATGATTACAATTTAGAGAGGTTCCCTGGCAAAGCAGAGTCAATCGAGGAGTGATTCACTCTTGCAGGGAGTGGGGGTGGGGCTCAGTAACAAAGTAAAAAGAGTATGAGTGATGTTGAGGGGGACAGAGATGTGCACAGGTGGTGGACAGGTTATGGGGGAAGGAGGAAGATGAGAAAAGGTCACAAGAAGGTCACCGGGTACTGTGGCATATGGGCAGAAGCCAGACCTGGAGACACTCAAGCCAGAGGGATGCTCAGGAGACAGAGGCTCTGACACCCGTCTACCCCCCCCCCCCCCCCCCCCCCCCCCCCAATCCTGGGTGTCCCTTGAGTTTGCGAGGCAAAGCAGAGCCAATACTCACTCTCCGTTCCTAGCACAGGGAGAAGAGGGCCCCTGGGCCTCCGGGATTTCATCTCCGGGGCCTTGGTGTTCTTAGTGTCTGGAGCATCTGGAACAAAACAGGGGACACAAACATCACTGGGAGGCTGTCCAAGGAGATGAATAGAGGAGGCACCTCAGTCAGGATCCCACCTTAAACCTCGTATGGCTCACCCATCCTGCATTCCTTGGGAGGCCCTCGGCGCCTGCTGGGCCGGCCCTGCCTCCACTGGCACCAAAGAAGGAAAGGCCGCCATGGCTGATAAATCAGGTGGTAGGACAGTCACCCTGGCAAGATGGATGGATAGGCTACTGGGAGCTGGTTAGTACTCCCCTCTGCACAGGCTGCCAGAAATACCGCTGCTGTCCAGGCTGTGGCCGTCCTACCCTCTGGCTCAGCTCCCCCATCTTTTCCTTCCTTGGGCCTTGACTCACTCAGCTGAATGTTCCAGACTTTCAAAAACACTTTCAAAAAGAGGTCTCACACAGAGGAAGGAGAGGACGTAGCTCACGGTCTGGAGGGGCTTGCGGTCAGTCTCTGATTTTTTCAGACATGCTGTTGCACTTGGCCCATAACAGACCAGATAAAGACCTCAGAGCAGGCAGCTAGCGTGCCTCTCCCCTGAGACTGAGGCGAGGACCCACTTGAGGGCTTCTGCTATCCCTCCCCAAGGCAGGGATGGTGCAACATTGCTGCAGCAGCTAAATTAGACACGATGGGGATGGGGACGGTGCTCCTCAGGCCTCTGCTCCAGGCTCCTTCTCCCATGCTAAGGCAGAGCCCAGATAATGCCTGAGGAACCCTCCCTTGTCTAGCAGCAGGGACTCTTCACTATGGCTGGGTGGGGCTGGGCAGAAAAAGCCCCCACTGGGCCCCCAGGAGAAGGGACTTTACAAACTTGTGGGGAAACCATCTAGGACTCAGATAAGAAATACTTGCTGAATCAATGTCACCATGCTCTTTGGTCTTCCTTTCCCTACAAGGAACACTTTTTGGGAACAGGTTGGGTGGGTAGCTCTCTGAACCCCCTTCCTATCCTCCTTTTCCTGCTTGGGAGGAGAGGAAACTCAGAGGGAGGAAGGAGGGTGGGGCACTTTCCAGAGGCTTTGGCCACTTCCTGTGGCTTGGCTGGGGAGGAAGGGCTACCTTGCTCCCCTCCCTTTCAGGATGGCAGCCCTGGCTGATCTTACCTCATCTGGGCTCTGGGGTGGGAACCAGGTGCACAGAGTGAAGGGGCCAGGGACATATCCTTCCTGTCTCATGGGCTCTCTGAGCTCTCACCTGGAGGCATGTCTCTTTCTACATAGCATCTGGGTCCCTGCCTGCTCTAGAAGTGGAGCTGCCTATGCTATCCTTCTCACACAGCATCATTTCTGAGACTTAACACTAGTCAGCCTCCCTTCCCACCTCCTGAGGCGAGGACCCACTCGAGGGCTTCTGCTGTCCCTCCCCAAGGCAGGGATGGTGAAACATTGCTGCAGCAGCTAAATTAGACACGGTGGGGATGGGGATACGGTAATCCCGTAACAGAGGCACCTTGCTGGCTCAGTTCAGAGGTCTCTGGGCTGGGCAGGAGATGGGGGGCTCACCACTGAAAAAGGGCAAAAGCCATATATATGGAACTGTGGGAATGACTGGATCGTAAGTAGGACTTTCTATTAATCTATAGCAGAAGATGGAGATAAAGGGACAAGAGTGGAAGAGATCCTTTGAAGCAGTGCTTGATAACCCAGCCCCTAACCTGCCCCCACGGCATGTCACCCTAATCCCACCACTGTCCAGAAGTGCAAAGGAGCACCAGATGGTGGCAGGTCTTTGCCATCCATAGCCAATGCCACCAGGATCTTAGGGAGCTGCCCACACCCCAGGGCATCAATTCCATGTGGAGCTAGGTAGAGGAAGAGAAAGTCCCCCTAGGACTTGAAAGAAAGTACATGCAGAAATTTCTCTTTGCCCTTTTCCCAGAGGAGGAGTGGAGGTGGGGATGTGCACAAAGTTCTGCATTCCTTGGTTCAGATCTCTCTTTCTCCTGGTGAGTCCCAGAGCATAGAGAAGGCAGAGAAAAAAGGACTGGTTTCCCCACCACCCACAGGTGGGAAAACTGAGTAGAAGCAAGCAAAGGAGGAGAGGCCCAGTTTCCCTGGGCTTCTGAAAGGAGGGATGTGCTGGGCTTTACTTTCAAGCACCCATCACAGAAGGATGAAGAGAGGACAGTTCTAGTTGTGGCTTTGTCATCAGCAATCTCAAGAACATGGGCAAGTCACGTAAACTGTCCCATGTCTCTGTTTTCTTATCTGTTCAAAGGGAATGACTCTTGTTTTCTCTACCCCACAGTGGCCCAAGTCCCAAAGGACAGAATGCATGCAATGGGGCTCTGGAGACCAAGAAGGGTCTTTTGCCTAAGTGAGCTCACTCTTCCTGCTAACCACGATCTCTCACTCCTCCGAGTTGACTTTAACATTTTCTACCTTCAGAATCCCTGCACCAGCCCCTATCATTCCTGCACTGTCCTCTGCTCTAGGGTGCTGCAGGCCCCCCAGATGTGTGAGTAACCACACTGGATGTGCTTTGAGCCTTGTTTTAAGAAGTTTCACTGCACTTTATCTTTCAGTCTGGCCATGAGGAAAAGGGCTTGAGTTTCCATTTCAAACCAGGCATACTCTAGGCCTGGAGCCCCGTCCCTCCTAAAGTGCCAACACTGTGGGGGCTCTGCATGCACCAGGGGCCCCAGGCAGGGATGCTGAACCACTACGCCTCCTCCATGAGAACCGCAGGAGGAGTGGGCTGGAAGGACCACACGCTTAATCAAAACCAGCTTTGTGCTCACATGGCTGTCCAGGGGATAAAAATAATAGTAATAAAAGTTTAAGAGCAGCTTGTCTTTTCTGTCTATTTTAATCTATTTTGTGATGAAACTGAACTTCATTTCTAGATCTGGGCCTCAGGGCTAGAGTCCTTTGCTGGCCTGGTGTGCACCCAAAGGAGTGTGCAGAGGGAAGATGGAGGTGTAGGGAAGTGGGGGGCCTTGACAGAGAGAGGGAAACTTGTCCTTATACGGATAATGCCTCACCCTTTCCACTCCTGGGCTCATTCTGGACTCACACCCTCAAGGGGACATTTGGCATTTTTTCTTTTGTTTCCCCCAAGAGGTTGGATCCCTGGGCTCTGGCCCTAGGCAGAGGAATGAGGTCTTGGGAAGCTTCTGAGAGTGGGTCTGAGCTTCTAAGAGACCCATGAGGGGACAGAGCAGAGGGGCTGGGCTCCAGCCTCTCCCAGGAGGTCGTCCATTCTTCCTCGCTGGCCTCTCTTTCTGCCAAAGACCAAGCAGCTTGCTAGCATGAAAGGATAGCACTTTCTAGTTGGGAACTTGAGCTCTTTTCTGGCTCTGAGGTTTAGTGAGTCGTTGGGGAAGTTCCTGAACTTTTCTGAGGCTGATCTTCCTCATTGGAAAAATGGGAATAACACCAGCTCAACAGAAGAGGGACGGAGGAGTGAGTTACAAAATAACAGGTGACATTTACTGGGTACTTGTTCCACACATGTGTTCTGCTGAAGTGCTTTATGTGCTCACACAGGGCGGAACCACACCATTCACCAATACTTAATTACTTTTGGCCTAAAAAATAGCAATTCTATTTGGTTGAACCTAATACCCATTAACTGCCTGTGACAACTTAAAGAATCAACGTGAAAGTGGGAGTGGAGTGGAGAATATATATAGAAGGACTGAAGCCAACGAAGGCTGGGTCCAACTCAGTGACAAACAGCAATGCCAATGGTCCTGGGGGCAGTGGGCTGCAGTGCTAAGCAGCCAAGTCTTGGGGTTAGATTCCCAATTAGTCAAGGTGAACTTGAGCAGGTGACTAGCTCTCTGTCTCAAATAGGCCATTGTTGCTATCACTGCCCTTTAACCTTCTTGTCAAGGTCACCGATGATCTCCAGGTTGCCATATCTAGTGGCCAATGCTCAGTCTCCCCTCTACTCAACAGTAGCATCCAACACTTGATCCTTCATTCTTTCCTTCCTCAGATTCTCACCATTTAGACCTGGGACACTCCCTCTCCTGGATGTTTTTCTCCCTGAGACCATTCTTTTGTGGACTCCTGTCCTCTCCCTGCCTCTCAATGTTGGAGTCTACCTCGCTCCTTTGTCCCATCTCCATCCACATCCACCCCTGGGAACCTCTGTCAATTCCAGGGCATTTGATGGCCTCTACATGTGGATGGATCCCCATTCCCTGATCTCCCTCCCCAGCTTCAGATTTATCTAGATGCCTGTCTATGTCACATGTTTCCTTGGGCTGCCCAATGGGCATCTCCAACTTCACATGCACAAAACTCTCGATTGTCCCTCCAACCTGCACATTCTGACTTCGGCAGGCTGGCACTGCCATTGATCTTCACTCTTCCATGGAAACTAAGTCTTCCATGCAGCAAGGACGGGGCGCCCGGTGCCTCCCCTTTCTCTCTCCATATCCAACTCATCAGTGAGTCTTATCAGCTCTACATCAAACTAGATTTATGAATCCAATCATTACTTGTCACTTCCACTGAGCCTATATGCTACTGTCTCCTGCCATTTGGTCTCCCTGCTTTCCTCTGTATCTGTTCTGGGTCTGTTCACCCCACACAGGGCCCTGAGTGATCCTTTACAAATGTCCAGAATTGTCCCATCTCACTCAGAATAAAATCCGGCTTCCTCGTCAAAGCCCACACAGCCTTGCCGAGCTGGCATCTGCCCTCTGCAGCCTTACTCCCACCACATAGCCCCTTGCTCCCGGCCCCATCAGCCTGGTTGCTTCCTTTTCCTGGGGAGGACAAACATAGCCTCACTGTCACCTCTTTTCTCTTACCTCAGGGACTCCTTCTCTAACTTCCTGGAGGTCTCTGTTCAAAAGTTCCTTCCTCAAGAGGGCTCAATAATCCCCATCTCTGAACAGCACCCCCTCCCACTTGCCCCCCTGGGCCTTCTCCACGCAGGCAGCATTGTCTGAAGTAATGACATGTCTCTTCCTCTGCACTATTACTTCCCCCCAATAGAAGGTCAAGTGCTGAGAGCAAGCACTCATTCTGCTGTGTTTACTGCTGCTAATGCTCAATCCTAGAGGAGCGCCTGGCATGGCGGGCACACAAGTCTTTGTTGAATGAATGAGTGATGGCACAGGTGCCCATTGGAGCACCTACACAAACATGGGCGACCCTCTGTGGTCACAAAGCCCCACTCTCACTGAAGCTAAGGCTGGGTTGCCTTGGGGGCAACTGAAGAAGGGAGACCTGAGTTGGGAAGGACTGCAGGAGCCCGTGAGGGGCTGAGGTGCCTCCTGACTCCTGTCCTGGGATGCTGGCTTAAGAAGGACTTCACCTCTCATCTGGGTCTGGATCACATGAGTTACTTAGTCCCATGTTCAGAAGGACTTCCCAACAGAAAAGGCTGGTAATGAAGGAGACCAGGGGCTCTGCCATGGTAACTCACTTTACGGGGGGCTGGCAGGTCATGGGAAGGTACAGACCAGACCCACTTGAGTCCTGCCATGGTGGTCTGGGATGTAGCTTACTGCTGGAGTGGGGGTCCTCTTAGATCTAGTGTGCCTGTCTGTGTGACCTGGGAAGGCTGTCCACCCGGGCTAAGTCTGTTTGCTAATGGAGGAAAGCTTGTCCACTATTGGGTAACCAGAAAATACAAAATATGACAGAGTCTCTGGCCATGGTGGCCACGGAAGGCCAGTTTTTTCTCCTCCTGGACAAGTTTTCTGGAAAGTCCTTACCCACTCTAGGCTTAGTTCTCTTGTGTGGGGACAAATTGACACTTGCCTTCCGCGTGTTTGGAAGGAAGGGTGATACGATCATAACCAAGAAAGTGCCCAAACACTGTCACACAAGAGAAAGACCCAAACAGCAGGACTAAAGCTGTCAGATATGCTGTATTATCAGGTCACCTCCCTTATACTATGTACAGGAGAAACAGACACGTGGCTGACACAAAACTCGCTTTAATTTTGGTACTAGGGATTGAACCCAAGGGCACTTAACTACTGAGCCACATCTCCAGCCCTTTTTGTATTTTATTTAGAGAAAGGGTGTTGCTGAGTTACTTAGGGCCTCACTAAGTTGCTGAGGCTGGCTTTGAACTCACAATCCTCCTGCCTCAGCCTCCCAAGTCACTGGGATTATAGGCATGTGCCACCACACCCAGCCTACTGGGCTCCTTTTGATGAGATCTTGAAATATATCATCTTATTGGCTATAGACACATGATCTTAATGGTGTTGGGCACAGGCTAAATGACAGCAAGTGACTTTCAGGGGGTATGATCAGCCCTGCTAAGTGACAGAGGGAAGCCAAGCTGAAGTTAGCACAGTGAAGAGGGACCTCACTGTCTTTCAATGACTGGTTCTGTCCAGAGGTCAGGCAGGCAGCTGCAGAGAGAGAGAGAACTTGGGGGCCCACCCAGGGCCTGGGCTGTGAACTCAAACATGGTTCCCTCTTAGGGCGGGGAGTCCCTTCAACCCAGTGTCATTCATGACTCCCGTTAACAACTGAACTAAAAGCTACAGACCCCTCTTTTCAGAAAGATGCTTAGGCCCATATATACCCCAAGTTTTGCCTGCAATTTCAAAGGGTACTCAGACCCATTGGGACCTGAGTGTCATGCCCTAGGGAATGTGGACAGTGAGAGGAAGGGACACAATGAAGGCAGGAGTTTATACAGGGTGTCTAGCACAGATGTAGCTGCAAGGGTAAGAAGAAGGAAGGGAGAGGATGAAGAGGGTTGCCTGTTTTTCTCTCTGAAAACCAAACCAAACAAAACCTAATTAGCTGGGAGTTGGTGTGTTATCTCAGCTGGTCTTTCTCCTAGCTTATTCCCAGTCTTCTGCTAAGATTCAGCTCCTAGTTTGCAACTAGGGGCCTGACCTCTGCCTTTGAGGGAACCAAAGATAAATGGTGGAGGTCATCAAGATTAGTGGGGAGTGTAACAGACTCTTCCAGTCATCCTCAGTGTGAAAAAGGCCCCTTAAGTTGTAGAATGAATGTCCTTAAAAAAAAAAAAAAAAAAAAAGAGAGAGATTCCCAAGTACATTCTGTAGAAAAAAAAGGAAATTTTATTTTGCAAACAAATCTGGAAAAGGTGCTGACATTTTACAGATAAGGAGAATGGATTGCTCTCCTGCCTGCAATCAGTCATGTACATAGGAATTAGAGAGCCCAGGAGTTCCCAAAGCAGACAACCTCTATTAGCAGGTTGGTTTCCGAATAGATTAGGGGGAATCAGCCAGAGTCCCAAGTGAGGAGAGAGGCTGTTATAAATTAACTTCCGGGGTCAAGTTTCCAGGAAGGCTACAACTGGGCACCTGAGAGTGGGACTCTGATCTGGGTGGTGACAGCCCAAGTGAGGAGAGACACACAGGAGAAAGTAGCAGCCACTGCCTAGCCCAGAGTCTCAAAGCATGTATCATAAGCCCTGCTCCCAGCTGACCATGAACTCTGCCCCGTCAGATCTGCTTTTTCAGATCTGCTTTCTCACTGAGGTGAGAAAAGGACATTACCAGAAGTCTAAGAGGACAGTTTTAGCTCACCTTTTTGGCTATTAACAATGTGATTCACATCACCACTGCGTGTTTTTAGAAGGCTTTTCTTTATAAGACCTTTCTTCCTTTCTCCTGTTCATTACTTACAGTAGAGCTCAGTTTTATGATCAGGAAATCGGATTATGAAATCCAGAATGAGGACTAAGATTCCACATTTTGTGGGATGGCGGTGAAACAGGTTAGGATCTTAGGACTCAAGTGATCCCACTCAGGAGCCAGAAGAACAACAAAGCTGTTCTTCGAGATGCCTTATTTGGACACTATTTTTTGACATGTCACTGATGGTTATTAACCAGGCATTTCAAGGGCAAGGAACTGTTTTCCCAAAACTACCTTTTTAGACATTTCCAGGCAAGTCCCAAAATACAAAGAAAGGGAACTGGATAGGGAATCCTTGAGATGGGGTTCTGCCCTGGCCCAGCCCTACTGTGACCAGAAAGCCTTCCTCTCTGAATGGCCTCAATTTTCTCATCTGTCAAATGAGGGTGTAACTCAGTGGTAGAGAATTTTCCTAGCATGAGTGAGGCCCTGGGTTCCATCCCTAGTATCGTCACAACAACAACAACAACAGCAACAATAATAATGTTGTTTGTCTAAACTATCATGAGGTCCATTCTACTTTCAAGTCTCTAATTTTACATTCCTCACCCCAGGAAGAAAAGAGTCATAAATGCATACTTCCTGTGTTTCTTTAGGACAAATCCCAAGCCTCATAGTGAGGCCTTGCCCCTTCCTAAGAGGGAAATTCCACTCAGACCTGACAGGACTGCTCTTTCTCCCATATCCCCTCTCCTTCTGCTGTGTTGCTATTACCCTTTTCTTTTGACAGAGGTGGCCCTGTCCCCTCTACCTGAAGACTCAGCCCGACTCACCTCCTCCAGGATGGCTCCCCACATCTAGCTCCCTCCTCACGTTCCCAGGACCCACGCCAGCTCTGTGCCGCCAGCACTCACACTTGTTTGCTGTGGCTTGTAAAATACTTGTAGTCATTTTCCTGTGGGTGTGTCCTTTCTCCTGCTTGGTGCCCTTTTGCCCGGATTCCCTGCAGAAGGTTCTGGGTGTGGGGGATTAGGACGAGGAGGGTAGGAGGGGGTGAACAGCCCCTCCTCCTGGCAGGGGCATAGAAAGCGGCCACATGGGTAATCAAGTGGGACTGGCACTTTCTTTTCTGTCTTGCTTTTGTAAAAGGTAGCTTGGCACCTACCAAATGAACGCCCAGGTAGAGGTAAAGACAGCTGGGGGCAGTTCAGTTCAGGTGTGGGAGGGTATGAGAGATGGGACCCTGGATATGTGATAGCATGGGTGGGTATGACCTACCGTCCACGGTGACTTGGCAGGAGCACTCCGCCTGGCCGGCACCATTCTTGGCTACACACTTGTATAGGCCTCTGTCCTCGGGCAGCGCCTTCTCGATGGAGACGGAACAGAGTGAGCCTGGAGGAACAGAGAGAACTGTTGAATGCACCAGGCAGTTTCTTAGTACCTGTCCTGGCATCTGAAGCATGGCAGAGTGTCCTTACATAGCAGCCCCTGGGAGCCCAGGCGAGAGGCCCTGGGGAAGTGATCCCTCTCCTCACGGAGGCCAGGGCATTCTCTGCTGATAAACTACACAATGAAGCTGAGTCCTAAATACACTTATCCAGGCACCCCTCCTCCACCCAGAGAGTCCTTTTACAGGGACATAATACAAAAGGACAGGAGGAAGAGAAATAGCCTCTGTCTCTGGAAAGCATGGATATAGCAGAGGAAATAGCTGGATGAGGCTCCTCACCAAGAGGGGGAAGGACTCAGGCCCAGGCTGCAGAGCTCTACTGCACCCAGTGGCAGGGAAGGGGGCTCTGCCAAGCTTGCAGCAGTGACTTTGCGAAATCACTCTTAGGAAAGGGAATTTTGAAAAGAAGTGGGTGTAGGAGGGTTAGAATCCTTGTTCTGCAAGGACATTGGCCTGTGGGAAGCTCTGTTGGGTTGAAGAGGTGACTGTGGCCTGGGACCTTGGCACTGGCTTTTCAGAAATGGGGTCTAGAGAATCATGACCAATGAGGAGCACTGGACAGTGGGAGCACTTGGGGTTGCCTCCCTTTAATGTTGGGTCTTCTGGTCACCTCAGAGTGGGGTGAAAATGGCCTTCTTTCCTACTGTCCTCACTTGGGTCTATTCTTGCCCCGACCCACCTCTTTGGGCCTAGTTCTCTCATCCCAGGGCTGGTCACGTCTCCTCTGGAGGCCCCTCCTTTAGTTTCCCTCTGGGTGTAGGGAGAGACCAGCTGAGGACCAGGCCTGTTGGTCAGGCGGGAGGTAGCAGTACCCTCGTTCTTGCCTTCAGGCTCACATATGAGGAGAAGGACAGAGCCAGAGCCATGGTAATCCTGTTGTCTAGAGTCACCCACCCCCAGCTCCCATGGGCCATTGGTACCAATGGAGAGAGCTGTGTGTATCCTGGGTGTGTGTGGCCTGGAGGGGGGTAGAGCAAGACTGGAAGGGAAGCCAGTGGGCACCATTCCTAAAGGGCCTTCAGATTTCAGCATACCCACCTACTACAAGTCCCACTTCCACGTTTACATGTATGCACAGACCTGACCAAAAAAAAATGCTAAGGCCCCCAGAGGAAGGAAGGATGACATCAGTGCTGACCAGAGAACCTCATTCAGGCTGGAGGAGAAAGTTAGGGCCTAACATTTTCCTGGGGCAGGATGGCAGGCTGATCTATGCGCCAAACCTCCTATACCCTTTCACAGACCCTAACCCTTGGAAAGGCGTCACTCTGTCCTCCATGGCAGAGGGCAACAGGTCCTGGTCTCTTCCCACTGTGTTGAAAAGATAATCTGCAGAAACTGCAGCAGAAAGGATTTAGTTGGATCTTTACACAGTCTGGTTTGAGAACGAGAACCATGAGGCACAGGAATAGGGGAATGAGGATAACCATGTTCTAGAGAGAGAATACTTTCCATTCATCTGAATATGGACAGGAGGATACTAAGACGACCTCTGATCCCTCAGAAACCAACCCCACCTGGGAATTTCCCCTCAGTCTGGGCTGAGCCTCTGAGAACAGAACTCTGTTGAATCCTTGGTTTTCTTTCAGTTTCAGTCTCCAGCTGCCTTCAGCCTTAAACCAAAGTTAGACACACTGTAGACAGTCATGAGCCAACGGCCCAACCGGGAGGGCAGCGGAGCACTTGGACATGGCCCTGCCCCTCCGCCCCAACTCTTTCAAGCCCCAGAACTGATCCCAGCCACGTGCGTGGGCTGGGGGAGAGCCAGGCAGGCTGGGAGGCTGGCTACCCCAGATGAAGAATCTGGTATTTCCTGTGGGACAGCTCATTCCTGACCTCCAGAAGAAAACTGTTTCCCAGCATTTTTTTTTTTTTTTTTTTTTTGAGAAGCCTCAGCCTGGTGGGGAATTTTGAGAAGGGGGAAGGGAGAGGTCAGGAGCAGGAATCTACTGAGCAGCTCAGCAAGAGCCCTGCCTGGGAGAGACCCTCCTGGCCAGGGAGTCAAGCTCTGGTTTTGAAGTTCCCTCAGTTCTCCAGTTCTCTCCTTTCCTGAATGGGTGGGCAGAGAGGAGAACAAGAACAGGGACAGAGATGAGGACAGGGAGCAGTCTGAAATGCTGAAGGCTCTGCTAGGAGGCTGCGCTAGTCAGCAGGGCCTCCCTGACCTGGTCTCCCTGAAAGGCCCAGACCAGTAGTATGACTCACCTCCAGGTCACCTCCTCAGGTATGGTGCCCTCCTTGTCACCCCTATGCCCCCAGCCCTAAGTATCTCTCTCCTCTGCTCCCAAGTTACCCTGAGCTTGTTATTGCCAAAGCACCTCTCTTAAGGCCATTGCAAAAACACAGCTGTCTTCTATACTAGCTCTGAGGGGAGTGACAATGTCTATCAGGAATGCTTTTCCTGAGTCTGGAATGCAGTTGCAATAAAAAAAAAAAATTGCCATCCTGAGAATGACAAAGGTGCATTTCTGCAGCAGGTG